TCATACTGCTGCTGGTCACTCATTCTTCCTGCGCCCTTCAGTGGATTTTTCAGGGTTGTAGTTCTCAGACTAAGCATGAAAGTCATGTGTTAAACTCACATGGAAATACATTATTTAAAAAATCAGGTTCTCAAGCTAAGCTCCCAGAAGACTGAATTCAATAGTTCAGGGAGTGGATACAGAAATCTGCATTTTCAAAAAGTCCCCAGGCATTGTGGTATGAAGCCAGACTTCAGAACCATAAAAACCTTGTTTGCCAAGGGAGCCCATGTGACTGCTGCCAAGAAGGGAATGGGAAAGGAGGAGGAAGACAAAATGGAAAGATGTTTTCTGATGTTCCTGGTTGTAACTAAAAGATATTCTTCCAGGGAAACAGTATTCATTAGGTAGTTATATACCAAGGGGCTGTTGGTTCTGTACTGCAGGGATTTTGTGAGATGTTTGAGAGCTACCAACACACACTTGAGTCAGCAAGAATAGTCACTCAAGTTTAAAACAGTGAATTCTTAAAAAATAGCCTACAAATACAGCTGGAGGTTGCCTATAGTTCCCCATTCTTGGATATGGTCTGGCCCGGACTTGTGACCCAGTTCTGATGATTAGATCCCTTGTATTGGGATGAACTTGTGTCATCCCCAACCCTTTTCTTTGGTCTCCTACTGTGGTACTCTTCTAGTTCCTTTTCACCTTTTCTTTCTTCTTTTGGATACTTGCCAGACACTGGGTTTCTTCTGTCAAAAGAATGATCTTATTTATGCTTTACAACAGCTCTGTAAGATTGGTGCTGTGATTATCCACAGCTACAGATGAAGAAGAGGGGGTTCCAAGAGATTAAGCGATTTGCTGCAGGGCACCCTGTTAAGTGCTCTCCTCCTACCTTGTACCCTGGGCTCAGAACACCAGTTCCTTCAGCCCCAGGGCCCTGCACTGCTTTCTTAAGTTGTCACCACACATGTTTGAGTCTTGCTCTTGAACCTCAGCCTGGAGGTTGGTGCACAGCTGTCTGTCAGATGTTTTTCTTTTGCTGACTAAAGGAACACCTCTCAGGGTCTCAGGATGCTATCTGCTCCTAGATTCCTCTTCTTGTGGGTTTTATCAGATGATGTCAGGAGCCCAGGAGCCCTATGCAGCCTTCTATTGCCAGACTAGGTTGCTGCAGAGACACCAGAAAAATGCATGCTGTTTACTACTAGAAAGGTCTTTGGAGTCTGTTGTGAGTTTTCTCTCCCTGACTCATATTCTTCCCTAATTAGCCTTCCAAGGGTGAGGAGTCTATCTAAAAGAAGTTACCTTAGTCCAATTATTAAGAATAATCCCCTTAATCCACCTCCTACCTCAAAGCTCCATCCACCACTGGAGCAGCAGCACATCCCCCCTCCCCCTTTCTGTTACCTAAATTAGAGGAGTCCAAACTGTGGCTTGTGTAACTGGTCTGTGAGAACTTTCTTGCCGTACTTGGACAAGCATCATTAGGGTAAACATTTCCAGATCCAGGTTCTCTTCCCTAAAATCTATTTGTGTGAGGATGGGCCAATGTTTGCATCACACATTTTTCCCATTTCATATCTTTTTTTTTTTTTTTTTGTACCAGAGATTGAACTCAGAGGCACTCAACCACTGAGCCACATCCCCAGCCCTATTTTATATTATATTTAGAGACAGGGACTCATTGAGTTCCTTAGGGCTAATTTGCTAATTTGCTAACACTGGCTTGGAACTTGCGATCCTTCCACCTCAGCCTCCCAGGCCACTGGGATTACAGGCATGAGCCACCACCCCAGTCCATTTCATATCCTTTACCCACTCTAAAATGTACTCTGATGCTTTGCTCTAGGTTAGAGAAGAAAGCTTCCTCAGCAACAACAACAAAATACTAAAATGTTGATTTGGGGAAAATTTTTATGCTTAATGAGGCAACTTATCCTATAGAGCTTTCTGATGTTTTAGTCTTTTAGCTTTTCTATTAAGGGTATTTTGGCTCTCCTTGAGATGTTTTGAATTTAAAAATAAAGGAGAGTGGTAGAAGTAATGACAATTTTTGTTTAATGATTTTGCCTCTTCTATTATCAAAGATTGCATCATCTGGAAGGAGAGAACTATGAAAGCAAAAGGAAGTGACCTGCGATTAGAAGATGACATGCTCACACATCTTTTCTCATGCATTTTACAATTTTTTTCTTTTTATATATGACAGTAGAATTATTTTGCAAATCATACATATATAATGTATAACTTATTCTTTTTAGGACCCCACTCTTTTGTGGTTGTACATGATGCAGAGTTACCCTAATCCAATTTTTTTTCTTGGTGCTGGGAATTGCTTGTGTACCATAGGCAAGCCTTCTACTACTGAGCTGTCCTCCCAGCCCTTTTTGCATATTTAAACTGAGCAGCCTTTTCAGTTACTCTCAATACTTGTCCCTAGTATGAGTCCTTAACTAGAAAGAAAAAGACTGCAGAGAAACTCAAGTAGACAAAATTAATTCTTCTAATTATTTTCTGTACAACAAGAATATTTTCTGGTACTACCAAGTTTGCAAAGTACACTGAAAAACACCCACTGTTAAACTTATTTTTTTCAGATTTAGTTACTGTTATTCAGTAAGATGGTTAGAAACTGTTCATCAAATCTTAAAAGATAGATTTCATTATTTTTTATAATATTTCTCAAAATGTAGATTAAAATTTATTTGAATAGAAAAATGAAGGCAGAATTTTTTTGACAAAGTCTAATTTACCTGATTGACTTGACAATATAGCTTGATAATTAGGCTACATGCTACACTTTTTCCATAAAAATCTACAGCTCTAACATTTGGAGAAAAATTTATAGAGATATGTAATAAGATATAAACATTTTATTTAAAAATGCAAATTTACCCATTTATTTGAATTTAAAAGTCTAAATTTTCAATTTCCCCCTCAATATATAGGACTAAACAAAGTGCCTCTAACTGAAAGAATGGCATGTAAAAGGAATAGTAATATAGTTTTGTACAAGTCTCAGAGATTGAGAAAATTACTCACTTTATGGATTGTATAAAAAATTCTTCCACAGGATAAGATCATAGCACCTTGATTTTAAAACATCATTGATTTTTAAAACAGCAGAGGGGGAAAATAGCAATAATAAAATATTAAACAGTAAAATACATTACTAAAAGAAACCCATAATTGCTGAAAAATATAATAATAATAATAAATATCATTAAAAATCCTTCCACAATTCAAGTATTTTCCAGTATTTTACTTTCAATAAAATTGATGGAAATGTATCAGTTAGCCATCAAAAATAGGTTTGGATAATAGACACCATAATTCACATAGCATAATTTTCACCATTTAAAAGTGTATAATCTAGTGACTTTTAGTATATTCAGAGTTGTGCAACTACCACAACAATCAATTTTAGAACATTCGTTTCATCCCTATAAATTGCTGGTATCCCTTAGCCAAGATCCTCAACCCTCTTTATCCCCACCCCCTACACACACACACACACACACACACACTGGCAACTGCTAACCTGATTTCTGTCCCTATAGATATGCCTATTCTATAAATCCTTTAAGACTGGTTTCTTAGCATATTGTTTTCAAGGTTCATCTAGGTGGAGCATGTTATCAATTTTTTTTCATTCTACTTTTTTTTTGTTGTTGTTGAGTAATACCCCCATTGTACGGATATATCACATTTTATCAATTGACACATTTGGGTTTCATCAATTTCTTGGCTATCAGGAATAAGGCGGCTATCATGAATAATATTCATGTTCAGGTTTTTGTATGAACCCAACTTTTCATTTTTCTTGGGTATATACCTAGAAGTGAAATTGCTGGGTCATATGGTAACACTATTATTAACCGTTTGAAGAAATGTGAAATTGTTTTCCAAAGAGGTTGCATCATTTTACATTTCTAACTGCAGTGTATAATGGAGATCCAATTTCTCTACATCCCTGTCAACATGTTATCTGTATTCATTCTTATACTGTTCTGATGAAATCACAGCTGTCCATTTTTTGTGGAGAAAACTAAAAAGGCTGGATTGCTTCGGAATGGGAAGACAAGGCTAAGAGCAGAGAGGTCTGAGTTCAAGTCATAGGGCAGGGCGGGGCTAAAGTAACCTTGGCCTAGCCTTTTAGCTTTCTAATAAAAAGAGGAGCCTGACACTTCAGATGGTCTCTAAGCTCTAAGATGCCTGTGGGAGAAAGTCTCTTTTCCTACCCTTAGTGCACCATTAAGTCGGGCAGCAGCCTGACTCAGGGAGTAGCGACGTCCTGCTCAATTAGGACTGCCCTTTACTTTCCAACCTTGGAGGCCAGTCCAAAGCTGAATTGGCCAATAGCTCCGGAGAAGCCGAGCTCCCTAGGCCCAGATCACTGAGAAGTGGATGACAGGTCATTCCAGGACAGGGAAGAGGAGGCTCCAAGAACTACAACTCCCAGGAGTCCGTGGGGGTGCTACCCAGATGCCTGAGCCAGGTGCCCGCTAGGAGCACTAAGCAGCCACCCCGCCGGGCTTCATTGTTAAGACCACTGAGCCAGGTAACCCGAGCGCATGCCTAGTCACATCCCAACTAGCGCGGCTTCTTTCCTTCCTTCAGGCCTCTTCTTTTCCGGTCCTGCAGAAGCGCTATTACCCGTTCCACTTCCGCCCCCTTGTCAGGACATGTGGAGAGGGCGGGGACTCTGGCAAGCGCGTTGTCAGGGGTGTGTACACGCGCGTTCACGGGCGATTTAAGAGGGAGGGGACTAAACTTTGGGTGTGGAAGGTTTGAGACCGCGGTGAACGGACAACGCATGCGTCGGAGCAGTGCTGCCAAGCTCCAGGAATTGGAAAGGGGCGGGGCGGAAATGCGCTGTTGGGCTGACGCTTGCGCATTGGTCACCAGTGTCCCGCCTCCTTTTACAGTTTTCCCCTCCTCCTACCCATCCTCCCGGAAGTGGAGCCGCCCTCGCGCCCACCAGCGGCCACCTCTGCGGCAGACCCCGCCCCCTGCCCCGCCCCCTGGCTCTCCGCCCCCTCTTCTGGTGGTGGCGCCCGGTGGCATCCCGGGTGGTGGCGGTTTTGGTGCCCGAAGCCGGGAGCGCAGAGTCGTTCCCGGGCGAGGCAGCCAGGCTATGATTGCGGGTCCCCGGCATCCCGCTCCGGCCAGCCAGCGTCCCTGTCTCAGCCTGTGCCGGTGCCCGTGCCCGAGCGATTTCCTCAGCCCGGCCCCGAGGCGCGGTTGTTGGCGGCGCCCCTGGCGCGCCCCCTCCTCCGATGGCGGCGGAAATCCAGCCCAAGCCGCTGACCCGCAAGCCGATCCTGCTGCAGCGGGTCGAGGGGTCTCAAGAGGTGGTGAATATGGCTGTGATCGTGCCCAAAGAGGAGGGCGTCATCAGTGTCTCAGAGGACAGGTACGGACTGCTGCCACTTGGTCGCGAGGAAGGCGGGACGGGACGGCGGTCCCCGAGCGCGCGTGCCTCCACGTCGGCGCGAGTGTAGACAAGCTTTTCCAAGTTTTATTATAATACGCATCCTTATAGTGCCTGTGTCCACCCATAAGCTGCTGTATCTGCGTGGCTCCGCGAAGCAGAGACAGGACCCGGTCGTGCGCTCTGGCCTCATCCGCGGCCCGGTGGAGCTTGGGGGATCCGGGATGACCCTTGAGCTAACGGTGCGCCAGACACCGGACCTTGCTGCAGCTCTGGGCACGGGTGGGTTAGAGAGAGAAGCCGCCGGGGCCTGCAGGTGTGTGCCTGGGGAGGATGCTCCGAGCCGCCACCACAAGATAAACTAAAGATTTGGGAGTTGTTCTCTGGTACAGTTCTTAGGGCCCCAAACTGAGAAAGCAAATGCCAGTGCTTTCTCCTAGACATTCTCCCCTAATCCATACTTCCCGGACATCTTACCCTGAATTCAGGGAATATTCTAAGTTGTGGAAAGAGTAACTTTGGGCTTCTGCGTGGTGCCTGCTCTCCTCTTATCTCGTCTAGCTTAAGGGGAAGCGCCTAGAACTTGCTGAGGACCACTGCTGCAAATAGCTTTTTGAGTTCCTTCCCTTTGCTTGCTTCCTTTATTTTTGCTTAATTTTGCTTAATTTGCAGAAGTGGAGCTGGTTGTTATGCCTTCATTAGACTCCTTTAAGTTAATCCCTTTAGTATGCAGAAATGAGGCTGAGGAAGGTAATTTCCAGAGGAATGCTGCTAGAATATTATAGTTATGGTAATGTATCTGGAAGTGTTACTCAGGATGATATCTCAAGCATTCTAAAAATGTAACTTTGTAGAGATACAGGCAAGCATTTTATTTATTTATTTATTTTTGTACCTTAAAACAGTAGTTAGGTCTTCTTAATAGAAGTTCAAATTGTGCTGATGTAGAGAAAATTTCTCCCATGGTGGCTTCTGCAGTTGCACAGGTAAAGCAATAGTGTTCATTACTCTCTTTATGTTGATTTCAGCACGGTGTTTATAATGTGGCCTTAAAACTTTTGCTTGATAGATATGTTATATCTAGGTAAACTCACATGTGTATTAGACATCCTAGTTTTCATCATGCCTCATACAAATGGCAGCTGACTCATTTTCCATGAATATCCAGTGGAAAACATTATAAACATACAGTCTGCAATGAATAGAAAAAATTCAGTGGCTGACTGGAATACATGATATAGGAGCCTTTTAAAATTCACAAACAAGTCTTAATAAGAATATCTAGTTTTTCCAGAGGGGCAGAATTCTATTAAAAGAGATTGCTTCTGGACCTGGAAATTCTCTCATAGAACTATTTTATGGAATACATTCAATAAAATATATTGATATATTATATTTTTATATTTATATTTTTAATCTCACTATAGATTAAATTGATCAATTTCTAACTACTGTAAGAAAATTCTAAGTAAATTCATTGAAATGAGCATGAGAAGGAGAAAAGTAGTTAAATCTAAGCTCCTTTAATACTAGTTTTGAAACTTTTGATTTCCATTCCACTGCATTTACCTTGAAAGAAATAGCTTTAATGGTGTATATTTCAAAGAGTTTGGAGAAGCTAAAATTGATCTATATTCTTGCTTTTCAAAATCCACTGTTAATGTCACCTGATATAATACTAAAGATATGAAGCTAGAATATTAATGTTCATGAAAACCTAAATAAATCCATGACCATATCTACTTCAGCTGGTAAATAGTCATCTTCATACTTGAATTATAAGGTTAAGCTACAAATAATGTCCTATACCTGAACACTGAATGTCTTATAAGTTCTTACAAAACCCTGGTTTTCCTTTTGACCCATGATTCCCTAAAAAAAATACTTAACATTTTCTGTTTTAAACAGTAATGTATATATTTCATGTTTATTTTATCATCTGTGAGTTCTCTAGGGAGTTGTGTGGGTTTATTCACTATAGTATCTGTAGGGCTCACACAGTGGCACACACTCTAGGAGTTCCTGGATAAATGTTTATTGTTTCAGTGTAGTTTTCAGTACCAACCCCCCCAATGTGGCATCTTTGCTATTGTAGACATTTAATTGGTATTTGTTGAATGAATATTTTGATGACCTACGAAAACCTTATATGGACAAATGTACACTGTGGGAAAAGTGTTGGACTGGGAGGCTTTAAGGTGCCTTAAAATTCTGAAAGCCCACACATTACTTCATTTATTCCATCACAAACATTTGAGTTCCTGTTGTGTTATAGTCACATGTATATACAATGATGAAAATGACAAAGTCTTTTGAGATGGTCCCAATACTAATTACTGTGGAACATTTTATAATAATATTGTTTAATGAAACTCTTAGAGGTAGTATTGAAAGGAAATTTTTCAGATGGGGAAGAATGGAGGGATTCTATAGTCTTTATTGTTCTCTAAGTTTTACTTTCCTTTGGAGGATTATTTCATTTGGATTACCATTTTAACCCTCAATCAGTATCTTGGGATAATATTACTTAAATTTTCAAGCTCAAGAATGGATGAAAACTATTACCTTCAAGTTCACTTTAGAAAATTAGGACAACCTAGAACTTTTATTGTTACTAAAGGAGGAAACTTAAGGGAATATAAGAACTATAAAAACAGTTTGATACATGAGTAAAGATTTCTGGTACTACCATAACACAGAGCCTATTCCCAGAACTCACTGCCCTTTTCTGAGTTTGTTTTGGTTGTAATTATGGTCTATTTTCAAAGGATGCACCAAACTTTGGGTTCCTCATTTCCTAGCATCTTTTGGTCTGTCTTTTCTGAGTAAATGCCATTTTACCATTCTGTGCTTAAAAACTTTATCTCAGACATCTTTGCCTTGTTTTGTTTAAGACATATGCTTGCAGTTTATCTGGGTCTTCCTTGTTTAGTGGCAGACTCTTAAGTGATAAAGCCAGGAGGGACTTCTCTCCAGGTGGGATCCAGCCCCATTCAGACCTTTATCTTTATTTATCTTTATAAGTTCTTTATTTGCTTGTCTTCACACAAGACGGCAATCTTACCATTCATAGAGTTTCAGTAATTAAGTAGTTTCAATTGGACATTTATGGGAAATTATTCTTTCCCCAGGAGATACACAGTGCTCTGAAGACAGGTACAGAATTGCCTTCTGGAATTGCCAAAAAAATCTTCTCTGCTTGTGGTGGTTAGAGAAGACCAACAATCTCTTGCCCATATGGTCCTTGCAGGATGAGTGGGAGTTCATATAAAAAAGCTGGGATAAAGGAAAGCAGTAAAATGCTAGGTAGAGGGGTCAAGAAAACTCCCAGGTATTGAGAAGCATTGGAATGAGTTGATGATGACTGTAGACTGGAGTCATGTTTGTTTGGAACTTAGCTCAGCATTGTTACACTTTGAGCAGTGTGGAAAATCAGTGTCTCCAGGAAAGTAATTGGGTGCAAGGGTGCAGAACTTTTTCTGGAGAGTAGGTACTGTGAAGGGAAATGTTCTGAACCCCTACAGTAAATAAAAGGGGGTCAGATTTTCATCTTTTTTTGTTTGTTTTTTGGTGGTATAGTGGAACCCAACCCAAGAACTCATGCATGCTAGGAAGTGCTACATCACTACAGCCCTCAGATTTTCATCTTAATTGAAGGAGATCTGATGCTCAGTGCCTGGCATAAAGGAGATATGAAATATATGTTCTTTTAACAAATCAATAAACAACTGTTTGAATTGAAATGGGCTTGAGGCAGATGAGTTTCCATGAACAAGGACACATCAATTGAGCTTGAGAGAAATTTAGCAGCTTGCCTTGGGATAGAGATAGGCTGGAACAAGGAGGGGGTTGGATATTTTTCTCTCTCTAAGGCCTTTTGAACTACTGTGATTCTAAGTGGCCATGCATACTTGACTATTTCTTGAAAAGATATGTTAAAATTTCATTTTATCTTATAAATCTTGATAGTATTGGTTCATTTACCATTCACACTTCTTTTCATTGTGAAATTGTACTTAATTCTCTGCTTTAACTATTAGTTTCACTAATTAGATCTTGGCTCAATTAGTTTAGCTCTTGATAGAATATTATGTACCATGTATTTTATAAGTTTTGCATAAATTTTTAAGAAAGTAAGCATAGTTGTGACATTGAGGACTTCCTGGAGTGACAGAGTGAGGTATCTGAAGTCAGCAAAATTAGAGCCCATCTAGATCATCTAGATTAAATTTTGAGTGTGTGGAATCTCTAATGATATAAAATTAATAAATTTTCAACTCTGTATTTGAGACTCATCACTTGGCATTAATAATTGTGGGTTTCAAGGTTCTGAAGAGGGAACTTACCCCAAATGGTTTTTGAAAATCAAACTTTATTCTGAATTCAAGACATGCTAGTGAATCTGTCTTGAGACAGGGTGCTTGTTTACCTTCTCTAAAGGTCAGCAAGAAATTTGACTTTTTTTCCCAATGGACCTTTATTTTATTTATTTATATGTGGTGTCGAGAATCGAACCCAGTGCCTCACACATGCTAGGCAAGTGCTCTACCACTGAGCCACAACCCCAGCCCAAATTTGACCTTTTT